CCAAATGCCATTCTAAGTCAGAATCTGTGAGAATGTCTATAAACTCAGAAAAGGTGTCAGATTCAACACTATGTGTTGAATTAGCACTCTTGATTTTTCTGCGTTGCACCATGGCTCTTTTTTCCCCCTGTGAAAAGAGCCTCTATAGAACAAAGTTGTAAAAACCCTTTGAACATGCTTTTAAATTTTTCACATAGCAGTGATCAGATAGCACTGAAAGCTGATCTGGTTGGTTTAAATCCCAGGTCGTGACTTCAAACCAAATCAAAGCAACATGAGACATCCACTGAACTTCACATGCAGCCACTCAGATGACCTTGGTGTCACTTTCAAAGTATTGTGTTGTTATTGAATAGTAACAACAGATATTTGTTGTCCAATCCATAGAGGTCCTCCAAAGAATAACAATACCTAAGATGTCAGATCAAGATGCTAACAACTAATAGTTTCTAAATAGCTGTGATATAATAGGGGGGGGAAAAGTGGCTTATTTTTCCAAAGCCTTAACTTAACCAGTTTGGTGTAGATACACTGTACAGTGCTTTATTTAACAAAGTATGTATACTTTTTGACCTTTTTTTAGATTTAAAATTGATTGGTTGACTGGATGACTGAGAACCTTCATCAGCATTGGTTGAATTAGATTTTTATGGTATCTTGCATCCAACTCTAAATGCTTTACAGGATTAGAAATAGATTAAAAAGACTTTCCTGTTGGGATCCTTAGGCTTGCCCACCAGAGGGCGCCGAGGATCCTCTTCTGTTTTATGTTGTTTTCTGCTAGGACTGGGGTTACTGTTGGGATCTGGAGAGTTACCATCTGTCTCCAGCAGAGAGCGCTGTGGGTCTCCTGGGCTGGAGCCTCCAGCACACCTGAAGCTCATCAGCCCATCAGGAGACCTTCCTTCATAAGCAGCAGTCAGACCTTCATTCGACGCCGCAGTGTTGACCAAGTTTGGTTAGCAAACCCTAGCCTCTGTTTATCTAGTGGATTTCAGTAGACTCTTGAGAGAAACTGAATTCTAACCTGCCTCTATCTTCTCTACTCACAGAAAGCCTGACCAAGGTTTGAAGCTCTGGATGAGCTTTACCTGGAAACCTGCCTGCCTGCCCAAGGAAGCCAAAACAGAAGGTCTCAGTCTGGATTCCTCCTTCAGCTCTCAGGGAAGAGCTGGGAAACCAAATCTTAAGATCTCAGTCTGGATTTCTCCTTCTGCTCTCAGGGAAGAGCTAGGAAGCTAACCTGAAGATCTCAGTCTGGATTCCTCCCTCAGCTCTCAGGGAAGAGCTAGGAACAAAACCCACGGCTAAGACTCACTAGCCAGAAGCTAGACGCTGCTGCTGCTGAGCTCTCTGCAACTCCCACAATCTCTGGACCCAACCGGTTCCCCATTCCAAGGATCTGTCCAAACCTCTTCAAGGTACTTTCAGAATTCACTCTCTCGTCAAACCATCTAACTGCCTGGCTAACTAAACTCTCATCTCTCCAGAAATAAGTGAAACCAGTCCCGGACCTGCACCAGAACCAGTCCTGAGTTACTCTGTACATTTCCTTAATAAACCTTGTTAACTTTTACTCTGTCTCCTGTTGGTGTTCTGCATACAGTATGGGTTTAGCTCAATAAACCGATCATGACATTTCCCCTGATAACCCTAAAGGAAAATAGTGGAACCAGTTGTGTTTAAATGCACCAAAGGAAAATTAGTTGAAAAAAGTTTGCATAGAAGTTTATAGAAGTGTCAGGTTTTAAAAAAATATATCTTCAAAAAATAAAACATTAAAAATGATTAAAAGTGATTAAAAATGACAAAAAAAATAAAAACTTGTACTGCTAAAAGAATAGAAACCTATTCAGACATCTGTGGCAGAGCTAAGGATTTCACAGGATGTTCCCTTGGCTGTTGCTTTACTGGACTTTTAACTGAACATTTCAGCCAAAAAGTAATACCCTATTAAGAGATTGTGACCACCTAGAAAAAAATAAAAACAAGCTGACCTTCAGACCTCTTGTGTGTAATTGTGAGGCAGAGGTGTTGGTATACCTTATCAGTGTTGGGCACATTACTTTGAAAAAGTAATTTATAATAGTTACTAGTTACTTCTCCCAAAAAGTAACTGAGTTACTAACTGAGTTACTCCACAATAAAAGTAACTAGTTACTAGTAAAAGTAACTATTGTGTTACTTATGCATTTCTCGCCACCGTAACCCTCACCACCCAGCCCCCACCTTCTCGCCTTGTGTTTCAAAAACTAGCTGAATAGAGTGGACGACAAAGACAATAACCTGCAGAGAGTTTTGCATTTATTGCAACTCAACGTAAATGACATCAGGGGGGGAACGCTATCTGACTTCCTATAAACCCCGTCAGATAGCGTTCCCCCTGCTTAACATGGGGGGAACGGTATCTGATAGGCTTCTAAAACCCGTCAGATAGCAGATAGGGGAACGGTATTTGATGTGGTGTAAATATCATCAGGCTGCATTACTTCTACTCATGGGTGTGAAGTTTTTTAACAGGCATTCAGATCTGGTGAGTGTATGAAAGTAATAACTGGGGATGTCTAATTCTGAAATCCTGTGTGTTTGGGTTGTTATAGATACTGTCTGTCTGTCTGTCCGTACGTCCGTCCATCCTGATTTCTCCCTTTCTCCATATAGGCTAACATTTTATTCTTCACGCTCTCCGTAGTTCCCCTGTGGCACGAGCACAGTTACGCTGTTACGCGCCTTTAGCGAGCATGCGCATTTCCTGTCGCTTGCGCGGTGAATCGTGCCGCCTGCGCGGTGCGGAAATGCAGGGGAAACAGTATCTGATGGGGTAACGCAGCTCGACGTAACACCAGTATTTCCATATGGAAAACGCTGTTTTGCTGCTGGAGTCCTCCTCACTCTCCATCTCTCCGTGTGTGCTGTACGTTAGCACCCGCCAGCGGAAACACCCACCTACCTAACCGACAGATGTAATCTCACTATACATAAGCCAATCTCATCCTCCCCTCTCTCATGACAAGGCACGCACGAGTTCTATCATGAAAAAAAGTTTAATTGTGCGACCTTAGTAACGTGTAGTAACAGGGTGTCAGCAATGATAACTGCGTTATAGTTAAAGTCAAAGCAATTAGTTAGATTACTCGTTACTAAAAAAGGTACTTTCAACGCTGTTAACCAACCAATGGTTCCATTAAAGGTAACCATTGGTGACAGCGCACCACCACATGTTACAGACACCCCAAGTTCCAAAAACTAATTTCAGGGAGATGCTTATAGAACCGTACCAGTCTGGTGCGGTTATTCACTTCAGTATCAGGTGGGTTTAAGAGGAATTTTTCACACCATTACATGTAAAAAAATAGGGCCTAGTCCACCATTGCATAGGGGAACCACCAGGTGTCAGTGATGGGGCCCCAAAGAGGTTGTGAGCCCCTAAGCAAATGCTGTCTCTGCTTACCGATAGTTACGCCATTGCTGCTGAGTAATGAGCCTAAATAGACCTTAGGGCTCTCAGACAGCTCTCAGGGCTACAGCTCAAAGGTATGGTTATGATCAAACAAAAGGAAGGCTTGTAGAGCTGGGCGATATGGCGATATATATCGTGAGGACGAGAGAAACATGTCTATTGTGACCTTTCTCCTCTATTTTTTCTATCGTGATAAACTTTTTTATTATTATTATTACTGCTAATATACATTTTAATATAATTTGTTAATATAACATTTTGCGTTTTTGCTATGCAAACTCTAAGTGTATATAACGAAAAAAAAAAGAGAATAAAAAGATAATGTGTAGAGAGCGTGGTTTTGCGACACTACACCGCTTTACGTCACGCGGCTTTGCACCATACGTTTGCGACATTACTGACGGAGAGAGCCCGCGAAATTTCTTTCTGGCTTGAAAAAAAATGAATGATGGACACCCAAGAAGATGTTACCACAGCAGCGGTTACAGAGTCCGAAACGGTTGCCAGGTCACAGACACAACAAACACCACTTTTGCCCAAAAGGGGAGGCAGCTCGGTTGTTTGGTTATATTTCGGATTTCAGCCATCTGATAAAGAACAAACGCAGCCGATATGTAAACTGTGCAGCAAAGCCGTTCCAGCGGCTGATGCAAATACTTCCGGCCTCTTTTACCACCTGAAGAAAAATCATGAACAAGAACACGGGAAACTACAACCACTCCGATCAAAACAAACAAGGGATGAAAATACAGGAAGCACTGGAAAGAAATTCTCACAGCCGAAGCTTAAGGAAGCATTCGCCCAAGGATCACAATATGAGAAGACGTCTCAGTGACACAAGCAGATCACAGGTGCTATTTCACGCTATATCTGTAAAGGCATGGCCCCCGTTTACATAGTCGAGAAAGACAGCTTTCGGGACTTCGTCCGTACACTCGATCCCAGATATGTGATGCCTAGTCGAAAACATTTCAGTAAAGTGGAGCTGCCTGGCTTATATGCTAGTTGTTGGGCTGAAGTGGAGTGAGAGGTACGTAGTGGTGCGACGCATTATGCGTTGACTACGGACATGTGGATGAGTAGAGCAACACAGCCTTATATGAGTCTCACCATCCATTTCATCAAGGACTGGACCCTCCGCGCTCGGTGTCTACAGACCGTGTACTTTCCTGAGGACCACACCGGAGTGATGCTCGCCCAAGGTATGAGCCTGACATTGCTATGCACTTTTGTGGGTTCGCTAGTTTTACTATTATTGGTTTTACTAATATGCTTACACCAATGAACTGTGTGCTTTTACAGCATACGCATGTTATTCCAAATTTCCCATTAGAGTTATCTCCATACACCTAAGAACGTATGTCTGTGGGTTTTCCCTACGTCGCCTCGTCAGCTGATTCTAGTCACGTGACTGACACAATTATTTATAGATATAGGAAAACAGCATCTGTGTTTTATGGCTATCCTATGTAAACTATAGCAGTGGTTTTTAATTCTGTCTGTCTATTTATCTATCTGTCTGTCTGTCTGTCTGTCTTGTCTGTGTCACCACAGATAATGCTTCAAACAACATCTCTGCAATGGAACTGAATGAGTGGGAGTGGTTGCAGTGCTTTGGTCACCGTCTACAGCTAGCCATCGGTAAGTGTAAAATCTTTAAAATGGCTTAAAGTAATTTTGAAAAGTAAAAATATGAACTGAAGTTGGTGTTCCTGCAAACATAACTGAACAAGTTATTCTTTCCATTTCATTTATCATTTTGATTGTCATCATGGTACACCCCAAATTGTAATATTTATATTATATATTAATATTAGAATAAATGTATACATTTAAATAAATAAAAATTCATATCATAATACATTCACTAAATGATTAACACAATCCATAAATCATTTAAGTCATCCATGATTATAGAAAAAAATGTGCTGTCATTACATCACTTTTTCTTTTGATTTCAATAGAGAATTCTCTAAAAGACCTCACCCCAACATCCACAAGGCAGGCTGTAGAAAGAGCAGTGGGTGTCTGCAAGAAAGTGGTGAGTGCCTTCTCCAATTCGTGGAAGAGGAAACGTGAATTGGCCAAAGCCCAAGCAGCACTGGGCTTGCCTCCCCACCAGCTGATCACCGAAACCCCCACCAGGTGGGGCTCCCGCCAGCAGATGGTTGCACGCTTCTTGGAGCAGGAGAAAGCCCTTTCACAGGTCCTCCTTGCAGATAAGAAGGTGAGATGTGGCCACTGGACATTACACAAATATATGGGCTCACTGATTGTTCTCATTGTGGATGCTGATGAGATTTGCAGGCCAGATTCACTTTATTAAAGTGTCCAATATTTTTTTTAATTTTACTTAGGCAAGACATCTTGTTCCGAGCTGGCAAGACGTGTCAATCCTGGATTCGCTCAACAAAGCCTTGGGCCCTCTGTTTGAATTTACCGATGCTTTGTCGGGGGAGAAATATGTAAGCGTGTCATTTCTGAAGCTGGTGCTACGTCTCTTTAACGATGAGATCCTCACCCCAAAAGAAGACGAAACAGAGCTCACAAAAGCATTGAAGGGAGGTGTTCTCAAATACCTCAATGACAAGTACGACGACCCAGCCACAAACGACCTCCTGGATATGGCGACACTGGTCGACCCAAGGTTCAAGACAACTTACATGAGGGAAAACCGGATGGAGCTCATCAAAAACAGAGCTGTCACACAGCTGCTGGGAATGGTGGAGGGAGAGACGGCACCAGCAACTGAGGCAGCAACAGGCTCCAGCTCACCCACAGCTGCTGGGAATGGTGGAGGGAGAGACGGCACCAGCAACTGAGGCAGCAACAGGCTCCAGCTCACCCACAGCTGCTAATGTTCCTGAGGACCTCCATCCAACGAAGAAAAAGAAGACCCTAGCCAGTTATTTTAAGAAGGCAGTGCAGGGAAACACCCACACCCTGCGCAACAGAGAAAGCCTTGAACTAGAGCTCGCCATGTACCTCCAAGCACCTGGGCCTGACTCAGAGGCAGACCCGCTGGAGTGGTGGAAGCTGCACGAGCCTAATTTTCCATCTGTGGCTCAGCTTGCCAAGAAATATCTATGCCTACCGGCCACAAGTGCATCATCTGAAAGGGCCTTCAGTACAAGTGGAAATATCATCACCTGCAAGAGGTCATGTCTGAAACCCAACACTGTGGACCAACTAGTGTTTCTTGCACTCAACCTGTAAATGTTGACATACGTTTCTACCTCTTTATTGTTATTGTAGGTTATTGTTTGTGCTTTATGTTTGCACATTTGTTCATGAATTATTAGGCCTAATGCTTTAAACAGAGTTCTAATCTGTTCAACCCTGATGACATCAGTGATGTTAACACAAAATGCTGCACTGCAATTTTACAGTTAAGATTTTTTTTTTAAATGACGCACTTTTGTTTTTTGTTTGTTTGTTTAATTGTTATTTTCTTGTCTCAGGCTTAAAGCTTATGCACTTAAGTGGAATTAATGTATTGATTGCCATATGATAGTTACTGGACCTCACTGATTATTCTGAAGGGGGGAAAAGTGAAGGCTACTGCACCTGTGAGTGTTGTGTTTACACACAAAGGTGCTGTAGCATTCACTTTTTCCCCTTCAGAGTAAATCATACTGTGTGTATTAGTGTGTACTGTTTGTTATAGTTTGTTGTATAGTACTGTTGTGTTCCATGTTTTTAAACTGTGCAGCACGTTTCTCTTGTGACTGCTGAAAAATAAAGAGAACAATTGAAACACCCATAATTGTGGTACAGGTCGTATGATGGATCACATTTTTAACTACACTGACACTCCTATCCAGTAGAACATGTGGGCATTTTAATTAATGTAGTTCTTCTTAAATAGGCGAGGCGCCTCCTAGTGGAAAACAAGGTAAGTGAAAGACAAGAGAAAAACCTGGCCTTGGAATTTTATAAAATGTCAATAACAAACGAATATTAAATGATTAATTACTGCAGCGCAATAGCCAAGATTCTATACTGTTCACTGTCATGGCGGCAAATTGCATAACTGGTGTTCTTGGTTTGGGGTTGGGATTCTCATATTAGGAAACAAGATGATGGGTAAAAAATAGGCGATGAAAGATTTTTTTCAACCCTGTCCATCTGACGGACTATGAAAACATAAAATGCAACATCAGTTGTGGTATATCGTGATATATATCGTTATCGTCATATAAAATAATCCATATCGTGATATAGTTTTTTTCCATATCGCCCAGCCCTAAAGGCTTGAGTATTAAAACTTTCTAGTTAAAGTCTGGACCTAAATCCATCCATCCATTTATCATCACTCTTATCCAAAGCGGGGTCGCGAAGGGTGCTGGTGCCTATCTCCAGCTGTCTACGGGCGAGAGGCGGGATACACCCTGGACAGGTCGTCAGCCCATCGCAGGGCGACGTAATTCCAACTTGCTTAAATTATTTTACTTGCAAAAAATATTGAACTCATTCATCATGTATTTAACAGAGCTTTCCCTCTAAAATCAGATATAACGACAAAAAGAATTAGAATAATTTCTTACGAATAAATTAAGAAGAATGCATTAAGGAACTCATTACTCAATTTCTGTATAAGTACAGTTACCCTTATAACTTTATTTTGGATTCCTACATTATTCCACAAACAGACCGAATTTTTCTTTAATTGTATTTTGATTCATGCTAATCAAAATACAAGAAGAAAAACTATTTTATGGCTTCATTACACTTGCACTAAATTTTCTCTGATGAATTTGAATTCAGATATCATTTTTGGGTATTGATCATTATGTTGCACAGCTCACTCACTTCATACATGAAAACAATTATTATCTACAATAAGCTAAAGATGCAACTGTCAGACTTAATCTGGGTATTAAAATCTAATAAAGGAAAGTGAAAGATGTGAAAGCTGAAGTGAAATTGGAATTAAATAAATGTAGTTGTTTCTACCAATCAAACAAACAGGATTCTCAACATTTAGTGGGGCAGAGATGATGATTTAGTGTGGATAAACAGCTCCCTGACCTGTTTACTGTCATGGAAACACCATCATCCACAACAGTAAAATGTTTTTGTTGTGTTTTTTTTAGCGGGTTTATTACCATCAAATCAGAATCTGTTTTATATTATCTGACTGATGAGCTCCTCTCTCAGAAAACCTCTGAGCATCACCACATTTTCTTTATGAACCCCTGCCTGCGTGTTGTTCTGGAAAGTTATAACTGAAGTGATTGCATAACAAGCCTCCCAGCCTAAATGGTAAAAAGCTCCCTGAGTGAGAGAGACGAATAAAAAAAGAAAAGCAAGTCGGTGTAATCAGTTGTAGTTGGTTGATTCCTGAAGACAAGCTAAATTTCAATAAACATGACTAAATTTGTGTAGTCACAGTTTTCCTCTTTCTCTGCTGTTTGAAGCTTCGGCCTTAAGGAGACATACCCGCTACTGATGTCCCCTAAAAGCTTCAGTTTTAATGGTAATGAGCCCCCTGTGGGCTTCAGATTAAAGGGCCTGAGGGTCCTCACTCCGCCTCAGTGTTCACAATCCCTCTGTAAATGGACTGCTAAGGATTACGCTGCATGTACTCTGTGCTTTAACGGGTGCACAGTCTGGTGCAAATGGCAGAGTAATATGAAATTTGAATGGGAAATGATATCACTTAGACCAGATGAGCATTCATGCACCATGATTTGGTTACTATTTAACAAAAACACACAAGAGACTCCACAATGTATTTATCTGAGAAAGAGAAACAAAGCTAACAACAAAAAACTAAATGCACCTCATGATTCATTTACTTTAAAGGCAAACTGTGAACTTTGTGACCTAAAGAGTTGATGCACAAGAGTTATTTTAAATGAATCCTCAGGCCAATATACAGCGCTTGAGACTCCCCTCTTGAAATACCACCTATGTAAGATGGGAGATGACAGACTGCCATTGACCAGAATTTTGGCCCACTCACACTTTAAATGGACCTAGTTGACGCCCGCCAACAGGGGGAACAACTGGGTCTGTAGTCCAGGACCCAGAGTACAAAGGGTGGTTATGCATACACTGAACATCAAAGCAGAAGCCCTATGGATTCTATATTTTCTTATTCTTGTTTGTCTTTTGTCTACTCTAGTAATTCTTTTACTATTCCTCTTCATGTCTGCAAGTTTAATGTAAGAACTGAAGGATTTGTGGGCAAAAAAAACATGTTTTTATCTCAAGGCAAGTCTTTCCAGCATGAAAAACTGTCATGTTCATCAAAGAGTCCTGAAAAAAAAAAACCCCTCTAATATTTAACAGGGGAAGTTGAAGGTAAGGGGGAGACATGTCTGCACATCACTGGTTCTGTACTGCAGAGCTATGTTTTTTCAGAGCCGCCCCAGGGAACAGAAGATGAGGATCCCTGGCTCATTCCAACTTACGCCAGCTTCAGGTCAAAACCTTGGAAATTGCAGGAATTTTTACCCTGTCCTAATGAAATGGGAAGTCACAATCAGCTTGGAGCTGATTTTAATCAATAGAGCTGCAGCTAATTTCATATTCATTACCCTGATTAAAAGTTTCTTGCAGCATGTCAGGTGTGGGTTTTATCCAGGCAGCTTTCGGCTGGAAATGGTGAAGTCATCTGTGTTGTGAAGTACCATTAGTTAAAGTTATGAACGATTCTGTTAACATATTGATTCTCTTCTTAATTAGAAATGTTATAACCCAGTGAAGAATTGCTTCCCATTATTTTGAGCAAAGAAGTGGATGATTGGACTGAATGAATCAATGAGTCGCAGTTATTTTCAAATCAGCTCATGGAGAATGAAACCCTCCTGGATTGGGGGTTTCCTCTACCAGGTAATTCTCCTTTTAGCTCTTTACTAAAAGTTAAAAGCTGTGCATCAGTTTAAAAAGTCCAAAAGTCAAGCAAAGCTATGGAAGGTCAAAACAAAGTTGAGTTGTTAGAGAAACACATTCAGACAGATTTTAAACACAAACTGTCCTCATCTGACTGTCCGCTCCCCATTAGAAAATAAGTCACCAGCTGCCAACAGACATGGTAAGCATGTCAAATCGATGTGCTATTTATATCTCAAAAGCAAAGCAAAGGGACAGCGTCCGTATTTAAAAGCTTTGCCTCAAGCCAAAGCTTTTAAGGGACACATAATACGACCCTTTTCTATTAGACAGACTTCAGCTACATTTTACTTCAATATTTCATATTTGTAGATTTTTTGTTGTTGGATACTTTGGGTATTTGTGTAACAAATTCTGTGAAGTATTTTTCAGTTCAAATCCTTAATGTTTTAACTTTATCTGTTCAGAGGTGGATTTTTGATTTGCTTTGGTTCAACAAAATTATGTTTGAGTTTAAATGTAATCTGCGACTGAAATCATTGTTTTATTAACAGTGGATCTACTAAGTCTTACAGCAGCGACCATCAGGCGGCCACCACTGTTTTCAAGGTTCATTTGGTTAAGGTGGAACCGTTCCAGTTATTGTTTGTATTCTTCCTTTTTATGAACTCTTAAACCCTGACCCATCTGTGAAAAGCTCATCCTGCAGAACTTGTTTTCAATTAATTTACTGCATGACCTTCTGCATGTCCTCCTGGATTCATTTAGTTAGGCCAGAGAGTCAAGATTTCTGTATTTGTAATAAGTCTGTGGTTCAAGTGAGGTCCACGGCCTTGGAATTATTTGCAAACCGATTGATGTCATGCACTTTTTGATTTAATCTTTTCTTAGAGTTCTGAAGATATGGAAATAACATGTTGCTTTTTTACATTTTGCAACCTACTTTGTGTTCTCAGACAGCTCCTATTACATCTACTGTAGGTGATTTCTTGATTCTACCAGTCAGCAACGCTCAGCAGACCTTTACACTGTTAATAATTGCAGCTAATTTATGATTTGACAAAGAAGCATATTTTCCCACACTGTTGGGTCATTTTGGACTATATTTTTTATTTTTTTTGCAGAATTTATCTTAAATATGTAATGTTTCTTCATGACAAAAGAGGAAAAACAGAAGAATCACAATCCATAAAGGGTAACCTTTCCAGACATGGCAATATGTTTTGAAATTGATTTTGTGTGTGTGTGTGTGTGTGTTTACAGAATTTGTAAACATTTAAGACCCCACTCATATTCTTTGTTCAGAGTATCAGTTTCTTTCTTCAGGTGGACATCTTAGAGTCCCTGCCTGTAGATTGAACTGCTATAATAACTCATTTGTTCCACTTTCCATCAAAGCAATAAACAGTAAATAGTGGAATAGGCAATGGTATTCAACATTTTATTCTAAACTGACTTGCTTCTTTTTGTATTCAATTATCTTATAACAAATTCTTTATAGTAGGGTCTTTTTATTGTGAATGTAATAAAACACACTTCCTTTATGTATTAATTGTTCTTATAATGGAATTTCTATAGCAGTCTATTTATGTGTGAATGTAGTTTGGACTATGTAGCAGCCAGCTGTACCCAAGACAAATTTCCTTTGCAAAAAATAAAGTTCATCA